ATGGAGCCGGCCAACAGAGCATGAGTAAACCTACATGGGAATTCTAAGGATATACAGGCCACCCTGCAGTCAGGGCTAATTAAGTTGCTGCCAAGCCTGGAATTAGGATTTCCTCGACTCATCACCTTGGCTAGTTCAGTGTCCACACAAATTAAATTGTTGACTTGCTGAGTTAGGGTTTCATCAGGATTCCCCCAGGTGGCTCACGCAGCAGGACACAGCCTGCACCTGATCTTCATGCAGGGGGTGCAGTAAGCACACCACTCTCATGGACTGATCATCACTGACCCCTGAGCACAGGACAGTGCTTTCCATCCCCCCACCAGGGTCATGGAGTGACTGTGCTGGTTTGTCCACAGAGACTCTGCTGAGCGAGTGGTTTTCTCAGACACAGGACCCATGCACTGGTGGGTCTGGTAGATCATTATCACCATTTGCTGTCCAAAACCAATGCACTGGCCTGTAGGCCTCCCCCTGCCTGTCATTTGCAAAAGTCACTGTGGTTTTGCTACGACCTGCAATGGAGAAAACAAGAGGGTAGGAAACTGGAGCAAAAGAACCCTTCTGAATCTAATCAAATGTGGTGTAAGGAGTGTACATGGTCCCACGGCAAGAAGGAAAGATGGAGATTGGCAATGCTTCATGGAGAGATGCAAGCTAGGATAAACCTCAAGCCTGCAGTGGTCTGGCTCTAAAACTGTCACCGGATGTCAATGATCTGGCCAGCTACTGCCCTGTCTCACACTTCCCCCCCCCCTTCTTGGGAGGGGAGATGTTGGCAAGTCAACTCCAGCAGTATCTGATTCCCTCCAGTATCCCCCTCCCAATGAGGCTTCACACCTGGACAGGCATGGAGACAGAAGGATCCCTTCTTATCTACAGACCAAAGTCAAACACCCCTGCGAACCCTACTAGGTCAACTGGCAGCCTACAAGACCACTGATTTGGGGCCTCTGTTAACTTCCCTGAAAGCCCTGGGAAGGGAACCCTGGAATCTCTTAAAACAATTTTACTTTGTTACTCTCAGACAAAGTCTAGAGAGGCTTGTGATGGGCAGTCAGACTTCCCCCACAAAGGCCCTCAGTCCTGTAGAACTGATACAGGATGCCGAGACTTGGGCTGAAGGACCCCAGTAGCTGGAGAACACAGGCTACACATCTCCTTTAAACATGCACAACACAATTCCCCTGCAGTTCCAGTGTCTGAATCGAAGTCGGCTGGCTCAAGCCCAAACCCAGTTACAGTGAGGCAGCATGACAGATGCTTTGGCCTCACTACCAGCTGAAGTCATCTTTTAATGCAGTGTTCAGTCTCAGCGTCCTATTGAACTCAGCTCTCCTTGGATTTCCAGGTAGCCAGCCAGGAATGCCTTTTCCATTTTCCATTTCCATGACTCACAGGCTGTGCCTTCCTTAATCCATTTTTAGTGAACCCCAGTGTGAAATTGTGCTTGTTACCAGCTATTGTACAACGGGTGGACACCTTCACTGACTATGCCGGATCACTATAAAATTCTTTTCTTCAGAGGATCCCGTACGTGTCCAGGTGCCAATACTTAGGTATGGGCTCTGTCCTTATGTCTTTTTTTATCTCCTGTCAATTTTTTCCCCCTCTCTAGTCGAAGAAAAGGGTCTGAGCAAATTTACACACAGAATATCCTAAAGCCCATAGCATTATAAAGATACAGTGTAACATCACAAAACTAGTATCGCTGCCAACAAAACCCGATCCAAACAAACCGGTATGGCCTGCTTTACTACACCGTTTGTCAAGAAACCAGTTTTTATTGCATAAAAGTCAGTCCAAGCTCACAGTCCCATTTCAGCTCAGGCTAATGACGAGACATCGTGACAGTCTCCTGTGCTGCTGATTTCCTGTCACATTAGAACCACAGAGGGCAGGAAATTAACCTGGGGGTTCCATGCACAGGACAGACGTTAAAGCTTGTCAATTTCTGATCTTGTATAATCTTGGGCAGATGTATTTAGTTGGCTAATTGCAAGTGTTTCAGCTAAGCCCCTCTGGCAGCCTGGCTGCTCATTGATTCAGAAAGCATCTTTCTCAAATCACTCATTTAATAATGGAACAATAGGCAACACAGCAGTTAGCACTGGCCCTGTTCCATCTAATATGTGGCCATAGGCTCTGATTCTGCTGATGCTTATACAAGCGTAAACTTGGAGTTACTGTCCCTTAGATACCTCCGTAATAGGTGTCTTTAAAAAAAAAACAAGGATAGAAAATCATGAGAGAGCAGAATCAGGTCCATATTGCCCTTTGGAAGATGATATATCTACCAATTATTATTACTGTAGCATCTAGAGGTCACTGTTAATATTGGGGCTCCATTGTGCTAGGTGCTGTACAGAGATAGAGTGCCCTTGCAGCGAACAGCTCACCATCTCAACTGACAAAATGTGGAAGGGCAAAGAGAGGCACGGAAAAGGGACATGACTTGTCTACGATCATACAGTCGCTCAGTGGCAGAGCAATGCAATTCTCAGAATAGCTTCCATGGAAGCCAAGGTAGCTAGAGCTCTTCTGGAAGTTAGGATAATTTGCGTATCATTTAGGCTTTGTGTTCACTAGCACTTTTGTCGGCAAAACTTTTGTCGGTCAGGGGTGTGGAAAAAAACCCACCCCTGACCGACATAAGTTTCACTGACAAAAGGACTGGTGTGGACTGTCCACAGAGCGGCTCCACGGGAGATCTAGAGCGGTACAGCTGTGCTGTTGTAAGGTCCATAGCGTAAACACAGCCTTTGTGCTGAAAACCACAGTTCTGTAGCTTTCACTACAATGAAGCATGCCAGACTCTGCAAAAACTCTGTTTTTCCTGAAACAATGAACTTCTGGACTGAGATTTTCCATGCTTCATTTCTCCCTAAGGTGGATTTCATGAAGTCAAAACGTTTTGCAGAAACCTGTCACTTTTGACAAAGCTTTGACTGGAAAAAGTCGAAACAAAGTTTTGATTTTCTTGTTTCCTTTTGATATGGTAAAACCATTTTGTTTCCAGTTGATCGTTTAGTTTGGTCTTTTATATTTAATATTTCAACACTATGTAAAGTCAAAACAATTAGATGGTTTCAAACTGAATTTTTGTTCACTGCAGGAAATGTTAGCATTTCATGTTGATCTAGAATAAAATCCCCACCCTGTTTCTGGCCAGTTCGAAGGCAAACCCTCCCCCTAGCCTCCTCTCAGGCCATGATTAACCAACTAGTTTCTAACATGCATCATGGCAGATGGGGGTCTCAAGAAGGGATCTGAAGGAGAAGGTAGAGGCCTTCTGCATGTGTCCATACACATAGGCAGCATGGAAGGCAGCACAAAGATGTGTGTGTGACAAACAGGCAGATGATGTTGTCTTCACTGGTAGGGCAGAATGTGTGAAGCCGTGAATGACAGCAGCAGACTAGTAGGGATGGACAGAGTTAAGAAAGAGAGAGCGAGACGTGGTCAAAGTGACAGGCAGGGAGAAGTTCTGTGTATGGACTGGAGATGTGCCATGTGGGTCTTGGGAAACTAGAGTGGGTGCCCACCTGAAGGGAGGCACCAAGAGGAAAGGGTTGGGAACCCTTGCTTTATCCGCCTCAAAGAAAGCTACTTCTTTTACCTTTTGCAAGTAAAGCACTGTTCCCTTCAGCACAGCGTAGAAGGTTTTCCAGCCACGCTTCCCTCTGGGAGCTAAAGAGAAAACAAAAGAAATGCAACCCATTTAACTCAAATCCATTTTACCCTTCGTCTAGGCAACAGGGAACCTACATTAATTCTGCATTCAACGTCTCTTGTATTCTGCTTTTCAAAGGGGAGCGTAACTAGCCAGAGTGCCTGCTCTGTAGCTAGGGCCGGGGGGAACAAACCAGCCATGATTACAGGGTCAGCAGGCGAATAGAGCTCATCCAGAAAACAGCTACAGTACAGGTGCTTGTCCCGTTCTGCGAGCCTGACAATATGAATTTCACCAGCCGCAGGAGTGGGAGACGCTATGCAGCACAGTCTGAGCTCTGTGTGGTGACAGAGGATTAGAGTAGCGAAGACCACCAGATAGTGGAGTTAGAGGGAACTTCTCTAACTGCAAGCAGGCACCACTCATAACTGGTACAGTGCCACTCTGTAGGGGGTAGCAAACCAAAGCATCCATCCCTCTTGCTGCAGCCACAAAGAAACCAGGATCAAGTGTTCAGCTGCTTCCCCAGTCCCTTCTTCCTAGCAGAAGGAGAGAAAATGATGGAAGACAACTAAAATCCCAGACAAACTCCTATATTAAGCTGGTGTTAAAGTTGAAGGACCACACCAGTGAAAACACAATAAACTTGTAATTATCCCAAAACAAGTATTACAAAGCCAGGGAATTCAGAGTTAAAGCTACACTTCAAAGTATAGCCCAAATAAATTTGTTAGTGTCTAAGGTGCCACAAGGACTCCTCGTTGTTTTTACTTCAAAGACATTCGAACATGTTAAAGTGTAAAAATGCACCATTCGTAGATTCATAGAGCTTAAGGCTACAAGGGACCATTAGATCATCTAGTCTGACCTCCTGCATAACACAGGCCATTACATTTTGCCCCATTATTCTCTGCTAAACCTATTTGTATTTGACTAAAGCATAAATTGTGATTGGCTAAAGCACCTCTTCCATGAAGACATCGCGAGACGGAGACTTCACCCCTTCCCTTGGGAGTAATCACCTTCTTGGTTACAAACGTGCGCCTCATTTCTAATTGGAATTTGTCTGACTGCAGCTGCCAGCCACTAGTTCTTGTTATGCCTTTCGCCGCTAGAATAAACAGCTCTTTAGCACCTGGTATTTTCTACCCCCTGAAGGTTCCCACAGAACCTTAACTTGGCCTTGTAGTGACTCCAGGAGAAAAATAAATGTGAGAAAAAAAGAATCTATCTTTAAAAATTAGTTTAATCTTACTAACCTGGGACCACAAAACCTACGGGAAATTTTTTCATAAGTGTCTAAGTGACTTAGGAGACAAAGTCCCATTGACTTTTAATGGGACTTCGGCTCCTGAGTCATGTAGGCACTTTTGAAAATGTTGTCCTAAATGCCTTAATCATGTGTATGGTTATCGCAGAAAGTGTAATCTTTAGTCCATTAAATAATATGCAATTTTTATTGTTCTGATTAAGCAAAGGAAGCACAATTCTTCCTTAAGATTTGTAAAGGGAGTGGACACCACTAGCAAACCTGGAGTGGGATGTTGGTAAAATAATTCTAAGCCACTCAGAACCTGTTTAGAACATGAAGTTTAACCAATGAGGTGGCCTGTTTATTAGGAAGAATCAGGCCACTTTGATTTCAAAAGTACCTAAGTATGGATTTAGGAGTCTATCTTTAGGGCTCCAACTCTGAAAATGTTGTTTGGTTATAAGACATCCGGACCTAGCATAATACATGGCACAACCTTCAGATACTTGTACACAACTGAAAAAGAGCAGCAGGTGTTCATAGTCCATAATAAAGTCAGATTTTGTTTTCAGTGTTAATCCCAGCAATTGTAATATGAGCTACCACCACATATACATTAACAACAAACGGGAAAACACAGATGCTCTCAGTAGTCACTGCTCTCAAAGCCACATTTCTGTCGCTTCCCCCACCCTAAAAAACAAGGCTTCATATAACAGTGACTACCGCAGTTTTCAACAGTATAAAAATAGCATATGCACCAATACACTCCCCACCCCCCAAAAGCCCTCAATAATGAGTCCTCCATTATACAGTTATAACAGTGAGGAAATATGACATTAAAAGCTGGAAATGCAACCAAACGTAGTTGCACATTTATTATGAATAGGGGACCAGTAGGTACCAAACTACATCCTATTTCTGAAAGGATGTAAGGTCTAATTTGAAGAAGATTATACCTCACTAACAAGGAATGACCTGCTACAGGGTTATTCTGAAAGGCCAGTGAACTTCTACAGGGATGGATCAATCCTTGGATTCTCATCTGGGGACTGTGACACCCTGGGGGGGGTTGCAAACAGGTGTTTCAAGGGGTCAGGACCATCCTTCCCTTCTTTATGAAAAATTTCTGTTGTAACTTGGAATCACGGATGGCAAAAGTTGAGAAATATTGGGCTAGTCCATGAACAGAACCTACAGTAGTTCCAATAAAACTGGTCTGAGTTTTGTGAACAACACTTTAGTTTCTTTAAGCACAAAAGATACACGTTGCTCTCCAATATTACATTTTCATTACACAAATTCACTAAAGCAAAGGACGTGGGTACCATTAACTTTACACTACAGGGCACGGAACAGTCCTCAAAATGGCCCAATAGTGTTCTTTTCTGCTGTGATAATCACATGGCTATTTTGTTTCTTATGCTTTCAATAACCTGGCTGTAGCAGGCTTGTTCTTGTTTATGGGCACAAGGCCATAAGCCACTGGAGGGTGAAGAGCGGTACCTAAGAGAGAAAACAATAAACATAAAAGATGCTCACTCCTCTTTCCATCCATATCTGCATGGATTTTCCGAGCCAGAAATCCAGTTTTATACACAGCAGCATTGGGGTCATGAGGAATGTCCAGGAAGGGGTTATTGGAATGGCCGATCCGAGTAATGGTCTTTGAATGGGGTCCATTATCCTTCTCATCAGTACCATCAGGGTGAGATTTTTTTTTCTCCTCTTCATCTCTAAAAACAGATGAACACAACAAAGTTTAGGTGAAAAACCCATCGCCCAGCGCCATTATCCTGCAAGGTGTCATCTCCTTAATTTCTGCACGTGCTTTATTTTTCAGAATTTTTCCTCTCTTTAGGTTATTCTTATCAGCATTTTTTTTACTATGGGCTTGATCTAAACCCACTGAAGACAGTGGGATGGCTCCCATTGGCTTCCATAAGTTTTGGATCAACAAAGTATTTAAGCACAACCCTAACTTAAAACATTTTGACACAAAAAAGCCATTTTCTATTAACAAAACTTTTCTGGGAAATATTTTCACCAGCGCTATTTGTAACTAACCGTTTGGGTGCCTAACTCCACCATCCGCCCCTGGCAAGCTCTTACGGAAGTCATTGATTGACAACTGCAGGATCAAGCCCTTGCTTTTGAAGAGACTGCTTCTCCCCTCCTCGCCAGGCAGGAGATATGGAAAAAGCAATCCGATGGCAAATGAATGGGTTTAGCAATGACAAGAAGATACGAATGCTTGACATCTTTATATTTGTGAGGTCCAATTATGGAGATCTGTACCTCTGCTAATATTTGCCTCCATGAGTTCCAGCCTCTCACTTGACAAAGCATCACACTCTCCTAGGACCCCACGATGGGGGGAGTAGCAGGAGACCCTGGTTCCCAAACCTATTTCTGGAACAGTGGCAAACAGGATGCATCTGAGAACTGGAGTTTAAAGGAGGCAGTTCCCATGGAGGAGGGAATCTCCAGACTGCATGTGCAGGAGGATCACACAAGTGCAGTTACAAGGCAGATTTCAGAACAGAATTGCAACACTAGTTTACAATACCCTGAATTTTAGCATCATTACTATTAATAATAATAAATTATAATTAATAATAGTAATAATAATTGGTACTACCATAGCACCTAGGGGCCCTAGTGGTAGGCGAGGACCCCATTGTACCAGGCACTGTTACAATTCTCAACAATATATTTAATTTGGGGATTTTCCTTTTCCCAAAAGTATTAAAATTCTCCATCACCATTTCATTATTTTTTTCTCTTGGTGGAGTCATTTTTTCTGTAGATTTCAGACTAAAAAAGGAATCCCAATACCTCCATTTTATTAAAGGTAAAGTTTGTTTCACCAGCAGACTAAAAGATATCAATGTTTTTCTGTACTCTACACAGCCCTCCTTTGAAAAAGGCCTTACAGATACTGATCATTTGAATGCAGACCGTGGATTTGCAAGTGTCTTCTTCAGCGAACAATTCTTCAAGCGTGTATATTATATAGTGTGCCTCCATTCACCCTATTCTACACTCTAATTCTTAATTCTATTGCCTGCATAGGGGAGCAAACATACTTCTTATAAACAATGGGGAAAATGCTGATCTCTGTGCTCCGTCTAAATATCAGGCAAATGAAACATATTTCACTTTAGATTATTCCACGCCTAAAATGGAGCAAGTCAAACTCAGTATCCTTCTCTGCTATGGAGCCGGTAGGGATCCATCTGATTCTAAGGGCAGAAGGGTCCATTCTGACCATCTAGTCTGACCTCCAGCATAGCACCAGACATGGAAATCATACCCACCTCGCCCAATAGCTTAGGGTTGATATTAGGAGAGGATGGTAAGACTTTAACTTCCTAATACAAATGTACACACACAAGAACCTCATGGGGATACTGGAGACCCTGAGGGGAGTTTAATTCAGTAGAAGGATGGAAAGTTACATACCAGTTATTGAGCTAAATTCATCCCAGGTGTAACTCTACTGACATCACTGGAGTTACCTCAGGGATTAATAGTGTGAAATTCCAGCTCCACTCAAGACAATGGGAGATTTGCTACTGACTTCAGTGATATCAGGATTTCAGTCACTCTCTTTGCCATGTTTCTGTCGCTTCCCTCACCCTAAAAAACAAGGCTTCATATAGCCCCAGTACAATTATAGCTCCACTTTCCAGGGAGCATAAGGCAAAAATACTATCAATCTCTACATAGCCCGACTCCTCCACGTCTCTCACTCTTTAAACCACAGACCGAACATTTACCACAGCCAGAGGAGATCTGCATGTGTATGCAAACAAGCACAGATTATGGAAGAGTGGAATCAAGAGGGGAAAAGAGAAAGAACAACAATCATCACATTTCCTGGGATTTCCATTTCCCTCATCGTTCAATCCTACTAAACGGTATTTCATGCAAGAGGGATTGGGGAGCGGCGAAAATAAGGAATCTTTCCTGACCATGTTCTTCTCTGAAAAGCGACTGTAAGAAGGAAAAGAGAGATAGGATCCCATATTTACTGGCTTCCAGATCAGAGCTGCACACATTACAAATCACAAGACATGGTTCATTTCAATAGCCGACTGGGAGCTAAGGGAGCTGAGTCAGCCCTGGTCTTTGATGGTACGTGAGAAGGAATGGACTGTAGCTCACCCGCCCAGAGCCACACTTACTCTGCCCTGCTGATAAGAGAATAACATAAAAGCTTTCGCTCCTAACTGAAGTGTCTGTGACTTTGAACACACCAGGGAGTGGATGGTGCTGAATACAGTGATGCTTTCCTGTCTACAGGTTCGATAATGAAATTTATGGGAGCCTTTCATGAACTTCAGCGGGCTCTGGATCCAGTCCTGTGGCTGTAAACAGCAGCACGGACAGCAAGTCTTTTAGAATGACGACAGGTCTAGCCAGTAACAAGCGATGAAGAATGAGATGAGGATCGTGTAGCCGTCCTCCATATATCATTTATCGTCGTCTTACCCTGCTCTGCCCGAGGTCTTTAATCCACCATGTAACAATTGCTGTCAAAGCTCTGAAACCCTTGTTTAGCCTACAGGAACAAACAGAATCTTTGGCTATCAAAGAGACTCTGACCAGATTAACAGCATTTCTTCACACTTCAATATCCTAGGTCAGGGGTAGGCAACCTTTCAGAAGCGGTGTGCCGAGTCTTCATTTATTTACTTTAATTTAAGGTTTCGCGTGCCGGTAATACATTTTAACATTTTTTAGAAGGTCTGTCTCTATAAGTCTATATATTATATAAGTAAACTATACTATATGTATGTAAAGTAAACAAGGTTTTCAAAATATTTAAGAAGCTTCATTTAAAATTAAATTAAAATGCTGATCTTATGCCACCAGCCTGGCGTTCTGTTCACCTAGGCCGGCAGCGGGCTGAGTGGGGCCTGACCTCTGAAGTCCCCGCCCCACCCCCAGAAGGGTGGGTGTGGGGGGCTTCAGAGGTCAGGGCAGAGGGCTGGAGGGGTGTGGGGGGGTGCAGGGCAGAAGGCTGGGGGTGTGGGGGGGTGGGTCAGGGCAGAGGGCTGGGTGTTGGGGGGAGGGCAGAGAACTGGGGTGTGTGTGGAGGTGCAGGGCAGAAGGCTGGGTGTGGGGGGGTTCAGGGCAGAGGGCTGGGTGCTCAGCTCGTGGGGTGCTCCCAGCCCCCTGCCCTCTGCCCTGAGCGGCTCATGACAGGAGGCTGGAAGGGATATGTCCTGTTCTACCCCCTTCCCCAAGGCCCCGTCCCTACCTCTTCTCTGCCTCCTTTACCCAGAGCCGGCTTTGGCAAGGGGCCGCGGGGCTGCCGTGCGCCGGCTGGAGCTCCGGCCGGGAGAGCGGGGCCGTGGGGCTTTTGCGGAGCAGCGAGCACGCTGCCACTCCTCCCCCCTCCCTTTGCAAGGGCCGGCGCAGGGAAGGAGAGGAGGGGCAGGAAAGCAGGCTGCACCATGGCTGGGGGAGCGGGGGAGCTTGGCCGCTGCAAGACGAAGCTTCTGCCTCCTGCCCCAGCAGGGGAGAGCGGTGGGCGGGGGGGCTGAGTGCGGCTGGGGGTCGGAACCGCGGCAGGCAGCCGCGTGCCATTCAGAATCGGCTCGCGTGCCGTAGGTTGCCGACCCCTGTCCTAGGTGCATCTCCACCGGGACTCTCCAGCATTTTTCTCACTGCTGGCCTAGCACTACAGCAGGTTTACCGTGGTAATGAAGTGCTGCTCCATCCACTATGATGGAGCCGAGTGCTCTCATGTGTCCACCCTCCTTTGCAGGCCGGTCTAGAGGGGCAGGGAGGAGTCATGGTCCCTCTCTTTTCAAGATAAGTAGTCCCTGCGCTGCCGATAGCCCAAGCACTGCTCTTGTGAACAGCCACTGCACAACGAGGAGGCTCAGCCCTTCACAGCCACTGCTCGCCGTCCAGCCCTAAGTTAACGTGCCCTGCATCCTCGGGGGTTGGAGCTTGCTCGTGAGCTTGGATTGCTCCTACGATCCAGGCAGCATTCCAGGAGGATAAGGTGGCCCTTCGCCCAGCCCGCTCTGCTCCACCCCACCGGCTCCCAGCGTTGCTCAGTGGTGGGGGTTCGGGGGAAGGGGTGGGGCATGCTGGGGCCGGGCTGCTCGCTGGTGCCAGGCTCCTCGCTAAGCCCCCAGGCTGCCCTGGACCCTGTGTCCCCCTGAAGCACAAGGCCCCCCCAGAGCACAGGGTCCAGGGCGGTTGCCCAGATCCGTCCTATGGTTGGGACAGCTCTGCTTGGGCACCACCAAAAATCATACAAACCTGCCACCCCTGATTGGATAGGGGGTGGGATTAGTGGGGTGGTGGGTTAGGGGCGGGGGTCGTC